CGAGTTATGAACGGTAGACAAAGTTGGCCTTCTGGGAGTGTTCTTTCTTCCAGAGAACCACTTTGGGACCATCGATCAGAAACTACCTCGCTAATTTCGATTTCAGCAAAAACCGTTTATAACTCGTAAATCGGATTACATACGGCTGAAGTGTATGAATCACTGTATCACCTTTGGCATTACTCATTGAGCTCATTTTTGGGCCCAAGTTGCTCGCCGTGTAGAATGTGTCTGGCTGACGCTTCGCTGTTAACCAGAAAAGGTGCTAGTCTTACGCCGCCTTGACTGGACGCTTGGCTCGTAGTAAAATAATGCCAGAGCCCAGAGCCTGACAAGCCACAGATTAGCGTGATCTTAGATATTATTCGTTGAATATGAGAATTTCGCCTCACACATATGTCTACCAGGCGAGGTGCGTGATGTTGTGCGGGATGTTTTGGAGCAAAAGGTGCGCACAAAGCGACTTGGCAAAGGCCAGCCTCCTTAGACTGCACCACGTGCTTGCGCTGCTGCTTCAAAGCAGCGACACAACCAACGGCCACCAACTACTTGCGTTTGGACCTTGCGACAACAAGAAGTACGGCCTTCACAGTGCCTCGTTATGAGTGAGTCAGTTAGCTCGTTCACCGCCTCAAATCGAAGGGCAGAATCAAGGCTATTTAGCTGTTTACCGCTTAATCAGTTATTTATTTTATTTATTTTTCATTTTCGCACCAATCAGCGGCTTTACCTTCATACCCACTGCCTCCAAGGACCGTTCAGCATGACAGTCTCCACATTTATGGAGGCCTCACATTGGGCCAAAGAAATTACACACAGTTACACATAGTTATGCACAATTACCCGCACACACACAAAATTAAATTATGGCACTTGAAATCCGAAGAGAATTGGATGGCAGCTGTGAAGATGTGCCACATTCGTCACCTGATAGTGCGCGGAAATTGGGCCGGAGAGTAGCGCCGGTTGGAAGCCTTTCTGTCTCTGTCTAAAGGGCAGCACCGCCAACCACACGCCTTATCTTAGCCAAATGCGCTATTTGTCTGCCCTCCTTCCTGTTTTGTTGTTCTCCCTTTGTTCCTGTTTGCCTCTTTGTCTGTGTGCCCTATTCGTATCGCAAATGTTGCTCCTTCAGGAATGGCCAGACGAACCTCAGGAAAGACAACCACACTTTTTCTCAAGCTGGCCTTTTCCGCACATCTTTTCCATGCGCTTTCGAGGCTCAAAAGTATTGCACATGTACAATTCCCCTCTCTTGGCATCATTCTCGGAAATTGGGTGCACAGTTTATCTTCAAAAGTGGCTTGACAATAATACCATATCACAAGACACAGGAATTATTAAAGTAACTTTACTAGTACTGTAACAACTGTGCGCAGATTGAACTTCAATGACCAGCTTTTTGATAAACAGTAATGCGTTCAAAATATGCAGCACTAGTTCGAGGTTACACAAGTATATTTCTACAAGCTCAGAAAACTGCAAAAGCTCCCTTTTTTCTATAGACGATGTCCTTCAAAGATTTTCGATGTCCTCTGAGCTCCTCGAAAAGCATGGCTAAAGAGTTGCTCTTGAAGACAAACTGTACACAAAACTCCGAAGACGGTCCTTGCAATGTATGAGGAATGGGTGCGTCTCTGCTATACCAAGCCACTTTCTCTGCTTCGATCGCACACGAATTGGGGCTGTAGGGTAGTGCGTAATCAGGTCCTGCTCCCCTACCCAGAGCACGGTATCCGCATCTAGCGTCGATGCGGTGGGCAAAAAAAAACAGGTACTCAGCGCTGCGAAAATAAGTCAGGAGGACGACGCAGAAACTAGCAGGTTCGGTTGTTGCTAATGACCTTGCTGACCGTGCGGTGTCGCGAGGTGAGTGCCAAGCCGGTAACGAGTTAGCACTACTCTCCAGGTTGGTCCCATGCATTTATGAGCAGAGAAGTGCAACGCTACATGGCAGCGTTTTTTTTTTTTTCACGAGGACAGGATCACGGAAATGAGTGTATCAGTTCCGTCTGCATAATAAACAGGTCAAGTCTGTAGACAATGGTCAATTTCAACACTCTAAGATTATGATTATGATTTATTATCGTCTAGTAAAAACAAGCAGAACACCAACAGAATAAATACCTAATTATATAGCTCAATGACCGATAAAGCATGCAGAAAGAGAAAAAGGAGTGACGGACTCCAATATAATACATAGTCCTTATCGCCGCTCCCAGTCGGGGCGGTGTCAGAAGGCGTGAAATCAGTCTCGGTGCAGTGATCGGTACAGGAAGAGAACAACCAGCAGCGGGGCAGTGGGTTCACTCCATTCATCTCAGCTGGGGGGCTTGAAAAGGTTGGCTCCATGCCGTCCTGACATCGCCCGACAAACAGTGGCAAATTCACGGTAAAACTCTAATACAGAACTAAACGGTTCAGGTTATAAACTCAACCACATAGAATATTCGGCCTCATACCCACCTGACAGAAGCAGGATTGAGAATTGGAGATTTCAGCAAATGCAAATAGACGTGACTTGAAAGGGCGGTGGACAGATGGCTAGGGGTGGGTTGTCACTGAATGTTACTGGTGGAGGAGATAAAAGGAGTGGTGCCAAACACTCTCTCAGCCGTTCCACCCATGACGCTGGCAGTAAGCCCGCTCCCAGTCATGGTGCCCATTGCCTCCGAAATTATTTAGCGGCGAGATTGCTCCGAGGATCAGCGCCGCCTGCCATTCCTGAAAAGAAAATATTCGCAACGTTCTGAGGAGGAGACAACGGTGAACTTCAGACGCTTGTCGAATATACATTCGGGGCATCTGGTGCAATGGCACGTCGGAATGAGTGTCGCAAATTTGCACAAAAAATAGAGCAGTAGGATATTTTTTACGCGTCCTTTTCTAGATTTTTTTGAACGGCAGTCAGTGATCAATGGTGCGAAGAAACTATTGCGAGAAAAGGATATGATAATTTTTTCCTGGGCCAAGAGGGAAGGAGGAGGGGGGTTAGCACCACTTCACTTACGCTCGAGCTCTTTCTTCTCTGCTCTCAGGTTCAAAGCTTTTCATTGCCATTTGTGGCGAAGGAAATGTTGCAGTGGTTCCGAATGCCGTGATCATCTGTGTTCTGAGCCTTTTTCTGGAAGGAATTAAGAGGAGGGGCCATACGGCCTTCCCTTCCCCCACGCCCTGCCCCGCCCATCCCCGAACAACGTAAGCGCCGAATGCACCTAATCCCAGTATACTGGAGCAGCGCCAAACTCATACTGGTAGAATTAGAAAACTCACCAAGACTACTTCCTTGTGGACGGAATGGAGAGCGGGGATCACCCCCATCAGGCATAGGTGGAGGTCCACCAGGGCTTATTGTTGCTCTGGTTGGACGTGGTGTAGCTCCAACGACATCATTGGGCATCCTTGGTCCCCATTCTGCACGAACTGAATCACCAGCTGTGGGAATGAGCGGTTTAGGCCTGAACTTGTCGATGGTGAACAAAAGTACGTCGTACGCCTGAAAGTACGAATCTAATGTCACACTACTGGTTTTTCCCCCACAGCATGGTACTGAAAGATAGCGATACCTCAGGATACTGATCGCTAAGATTTCTGAATTGTCTTCTTTGTTCTATGAGTGACTGATCGTCGTTGTCCATTA